TATAATATTCAAAAAATCAACATGAAGCCAACAATTATACTGTTTCTATATAATGACGTTAGAAATCATCTATAATGTATAATATGTTTCTGTAGATTCCAAACAAAACCCAGTAGCACAAAGGAATACATATTTGGTGATTAATGTAATGGATTACTTTACATTCATGATTTTAGACATTATGTCAGTATATGAATTGTGTTACGATGTCTAATACAGTATTACAGCGTGCAGGATTTATATTTATAATGATCTATGTTAAAGCACAGTGTATATTTTAAACTGTAAACATACAATTCATGAAATTTGTAATAAATGTACATTTTAATGATGTCCCAGGGGTTATTGACACTATATCGTAACTGCTTTTACTGTTAACTTGTCTAGTCGATGGCCTGTAGTTGCATGCCAATCACCTTGGCCACCATCTCTCTCCCTGTTTGAATTTGAATCTTAAATCCCATCTATCTATCTATCTATCTATCTATCTATCTATCTAGAGTGAAAAGAACAATTTCCCCTAGGGGATTAATAAAGTATATCTTCTTCTTCTTCTTCTTAGTAGTGTGTTTTGTACCTACTAGTGAGGGAACTGTATTAATGCTCTGATACAAGCAGCAGGGGGCGACAATGCAACACTAACTGGATGCAATCCGCCGAAAAGAAGAAAACCCGGAAGTAGGAATTATTATTTTGGTTTTTGTCGCGGCGGGAAACCTAGGAAGTAAACAAACTGAACGGTAAGTGTCTGTGTGTAATCTAACTGTTAAACAGTGGTTTTATGTAACCATAACCTCAGATTATCAGGCAGCAGGTTTAAACAGGTCTTTAGCAGACTTAGCGTCGTGAGCTAACCAACACAAACCTTTTCCCAGTTGTCCCTGGAAACGTGGCTGAAGACAGGAACTAACTTCTAACCAGTAAGGTCATTTTAAACCGGGTCATTGCACTTCTCTGCCTCTCTCTCTCCCAGTACGTTAAATAGTGTTACTACAGATCTACAGTGGTGGTACGGCTGCTGTTTACCTTCATACTGTTTATAAGCCGACAGGTCAGGTAACGTTACAAACACCTGCAATAAAATGAGATGAACAAAGACTGAAGATTATAACCTTAATGAATGTATGATGTATTGCGCTGCTCTCGTATTAGACTGCATTACTATCTATCAACAAAAGCTGCAACCAGTGATGGTGGACACTGAAACAGTTCAAATGGTTTGTTTTGTTATTTGACCAAAAAGTCCAACCCTCCCCAAAATATTCAATATACTAAAATGTAAGACAAGGAAACACATGTAAATCCTCACATCTGAGAAGTTAGGACTATCATATTTTGGGGCTTTTTTGCTTGAAAAATAACTTCAATTCAACTTCAATTAGTTGTCAGTTCATTTGCTATTGATCGTCTAATCTATTTGTCATTTCAGCTCTAACTGTGTAGCCTACAGAATAGAAAACTATTAGGTTATATGCAAAGTTGTTGTTTTTTCTGTCATTTGTGCGTGATGTACAGGTTCTGTTGGTACTCACATGGTTGAGCTCATAACGTTAGTAACAGACCTTTAATAATAAACATGTATTAAGTACTGTCTACCTTTTTTTCCCCCCAGGTAAGAAATCTTGACCATGCCGTCCAAACAGCAGGATGTGGCCAAATCTAACATCTCCCCAGTTCTATTCATGGCCGTAGACGGTGAACCCATGTCCTTCTTCTTGCGGCCGGGTCCTCTTAAACTCCAGCTCCAGCCTCTCATCACAGCTGGAGGAGGGATGTTGTGCAGCATCCAGCAGCCGGGGGCGATCCTGCTGATTGACCCGGACGAAAGAGGCTCCATTCCTGAAACTACTGCTCACTGGTAGGTGCTGAACTGGGCTGCCATCATCAAGTGTTTATGTCCTGAGGAATACTGTTTTACATAATCAGTTGATAAAAAGAAAACTACATGTCTGTACCATGCAAGAAGTTTACAGAATATATCTGTCATATCTCATATCTTACACCAGGTAAACTTAAGTCTGTCTCGTCACACTCTGGCAGAAGAAATGTACGTATTGATGTTAACACATAGGACATTTTGTAACTTAGCATCACCACACTGTCATAATGTAAACAGTGGGTATTGTTTGTGCACGGCCAGTCTTCTAAGGCTCACTGAAAGCAATACCGCCATGTTTGTTTGAAGATCACAATCCTACAATTCAGACAATTAAACAGCATTTTGACCTATAAGGAGGTGCTTAATCAAGTGAAACATGGTTAATCTCACTTAGGCTGTATCATCGACTTGAACAGAATACAAACTCAAGGTTGCGACACTTTAATATTGTTACTGGAAACATGTTCTTTATATTAAAATGACTTTAAGTACAGCAGAGTATGCTGAAGCATTTCCATGTATATGTATGTGATCAGCTATCTGCTGCCTCTTTTGTCCTCAGGTACGTGTCCACCAAGTACATTCACGACTGTATTGAGAAGGATGAACAGATGAGTTTAGAGGACTACAGGTTACATCCTGAAGTGGTCCCGAGACAGTCTGCTAGACTCCATAATATCAAAGAGCGCTCTCCTGGACTCTTAGGAGGTATGATGGAAAGACCTAACATTGCTCTTTGTCATGCACATTTTCAAAACTTCTCACATTCAGCTTACGCCTATGGTTCTCTATTAACATTTTAAAAGCAAATAAATAAACAGCAGTTTATCTAAGTATTTTATTCTATTGTTGTATTTTATTCTATTGTATTTTAATGTACCTGGC